GGGGGGGGGTTGGGGGAGGGGGAAGAGCAGCGTTGGAAGAAAGATGGGAGGGAAGTGAAGGCGGAGGAGAGAACACGCGGAGCCTGTTGTGTTGTGCAGAAGAGTGCAAAGACCGTCGGTTGGGCGTCGAAAACGTAAGTGGACCGCAAAAATCGAACGAAAATAGGAAAAACACCCAAGAGCCTAGCTCAGTGGGTACACCCATGAACTGTTGAAATACAGACCTGTGTTCGAATCCAGATGGTGGAACTTGACAAGTGAAACCAACTACTAATGAATTGCTTGGGGGCGGTCAGCTCAATGATAATATCTCAAGGCCGTCGCCCTTTAAAAAAAAAAAAAAAAAAAAAAAAAAAAAAAAAAAAAAAAAAGGAAAAACGTAAGTGGGTCGCAAGGATACTGGCCATTCATCGGGGGCAAGGTCCCACTTGCACGGATTACGAGAGTCTGGCCGTTGGTCTTTGCTATCTACGGCCAATATCGCTGAATTCGTGTAAGTGGGACCTACCGTCTTCCCCCGAACATAACGCAGCCTAAAAATGAATGTATACAAGCTATAATTTTGGCCAGATACGGGGGAAGACGGTAGCCCCGGGAGGGGAGGCAAAGACCGTTGTGTACCTCTCACTCGGGAGGCAGCTACTCAACCAATAGGCTAAGGGCCAGATCCCACTGGCAAAGAGGATTGGAAGAAGTGTCTGAATCTGGACGTGTTTCATGCACAGGTGCAGAAAAAAAGTAGATCAATCACAATTTTTCGCACCTGTCCACAAACACGTCCAGACACTACGATACTCTTTGCCAGTGGGATCGCCCTAAGTGGATGGGGGTGAAAGAGCTCCGATCGTTTTTTTTATCTTCTTTTTTTCCTGAGAGGCTACCCCTTGCAGGGGGGACCCTGTATAGGCCTAGGAGTAGTGGTGGGTAGGTAGTGAAAGGTGAAATTGAGCAGTGTGGTCAGCCTGGGTCCCTTTTCTTGGTAATAATATCACTACTAATAACAACTAAGGAAAAATTGTCACGGGTGAGCATTGTGGTCGGGTCCCTTGGTCCCATGCCGGTCCCTAATACTGTCTCAGATGCAACCCCCATTGCTGTCACGATATCTGGCACAGTTGGGGTACCCCAACTACGGTTTCAAGTGACAACATACCCTCCCTTCCCCCCCCCCTTTGCTGGGGGCCCTCCGACAGCACACCCTGTACCGCCGGTTGTCAAAGCGGCAAATACAGCAGGGGGTAAGGACTCAGGAGCAACTTGCTACTGTAGTAGCAGAAAATCCCGCTCAGATTAGTAAATGTAGACAATCACCGCGGGTCTGGTCCTTGGCCACACAGTCACCCGTTCGCCTCGGAGGCCGATGCCCGGCCCACTGTGGGGGATGCCGCCTTGGTCACACCCATGACCCCAATGGCACCGGCAGGAGAAGAGGATACTGAGGGGCAGCCCACTCAATCGCCTGCTGGAGCGGAGGTTATCACGAGGGATTCTGGTCAGGTTCCTTTGATTCCTTCCACTCCTCTCTCGGGCGAGTCGGAGGAGTCTACAGACGAGGACGACCCCTCTGAAGAAAAATGGGGTAGAACTCTCTCCCCGGGCGAACAGCGAAAGCCTAGAACACCCGGTACAGTTGGCAAAAATCAGGGGTCCAAATATCTGGTCCCCCTGATTAGAGCGGCGGTTAACACAGAAGCTGTAGCAGGCTGGTGGTGGCGGCCAGGTGCATCAGCAAAGCTTGGCGTGCAAGACGGCGGCTAACACAGAAGCCGTAGCAGGCTGGTGGTGGCGGCCAGGTGCATCAGCAAAGCTTGGTGTGCAAGGCCCACGGCCGATGTATGAGAAAGGTACTGGCGGTTCAAATTATCACCCGAGATCTCCGCGACAGTGTATACCATGTTGTCATGGAGGAGGTTTTCATCCTCGACCCAGTCCAAGGGGTACCAAGCCCCCTTGTCAAGCGACAGATGGACCAGGTCAGTCTCACTAGGTCTGACATCAAAAGGGACCACAAACAGATTGACCTTATGAAGGTCCCCTGATTTGCAGAAAGACCGCCGAGGTCCATCTGTTCGTGGCCCCTTCTGATGTCAGACCTAGTGAGACTGACCTGGTCCATCTGTCGCTTGGCAAGGGGGCTTGGTACCGCTTGGACTGGGTCGAGGATGAAAACCTCCTCCATGAAAACATGATATACGCTGTCGAGGGCATCTCAGGTGATATTTCAAACCGCCAGTACCTTTCTCATACATCGGCCGTGGGCCCTGCACGCCAAGCTTTGCTGATGCACCTGGCCGCTGTCGGGCCAAATACCCTGACAACGGTATTTGCCGGGGATTTTAAACGTCCGATGCTGTCCGACTCCTTCGTTGAATTGAGGGACTTGATGGGATTGACGTTTGCCAAAAGTATATTCAGACTAAGCCTATGACCGAGAGACTAAAACTTTTAGAAACAATAGTCCGGAATACTAAGGCGCCCGTTCGTTTTGACGAATGGGCTGCCACATCTGTTGGAAGGGGAAGCAGATTCGAATGTATCTACTACTAGACATGGAACTATACACTACTGTACTACTACTATTACCATGAAGTTCCCCCTACTCCTGCTGTAAGATCTGCCAGTACCCGTTCGTTCAAGTTTCAACGAACGGGCAGTAGGAGTAGGCGCCTGGTTTTCAACCCGCAGCCCTTTCATTATGCAGGTAAGTTTTGTCTTTGTTTTTTGTTAGTTTTTTTTTGAGATTTCGTTTTTGATTTTTTTTTTCCTTTTCTTGTTTTTTTTGCTTCTTTCTTTTCATGAAAAGTTGCACCCATTCGTTTTGGAAACGGGCTGTAGCTTTCATGAACGCTCCTGAACCTGGCACTGTTGGCGGCCGGGTGCGGGCGCGAGTTGGGCAGGGGTAGAAGTCCCTGCTGGCATTGCCTCTAGTTCGACTCTGTGAAATGAGTGTAGAGAGGGGGAGAGAGCTCGTCCGTTTTTGAACGACGAGCAGCCCTTTCTGGAGGAGAAATGAAGGGGTTAAAAAAAAAGGCAACGGCCACGAATGTGGCCGCGGTCTAGCCCCAGATTCAGGCCAGTTGGTCTGAGTGTGACCACTCATGCTAGGCCTGTATCTGAAGGGCCATCTGGGAAGTGGCTGAGTTCAGCCACTCCTTCGACGTACGTGCACTGGAGAAAGTGCCGGGTACAGGAGAAAAGAAAAAGAAAGAGAAGAAGGGGAAACAGGAGCTCAACAGGCTCGACTGTTCCTGGCCTGTTATTGAGATCAAGGACTCAGGATGAGTCTGAGTCCTGAAGTAAGCTTCCAAGTTTTGTATAAAGGCAGCCCTTCCCCCAGCTGCCTCATTCATTCCAGCAGCTGGAGGAAGTGCTGCTTGGAGAAGCGGTTCTGGGGGGGAAGTGCTGCTTGGAGGGTAGTGCTGCTTGAGAGGAGAGTGGAGGTCTGCAGAAAGATGGAGGCTTCTGTGTTAACCGCCGCTCTACTTTTTTTGTAGCGGGGAAAGGTACCGGCGGTTTAAACCACCAGTACTTCCTAAAATCGTGCCCGTTAACAAGCCACAATTTTAGGAAATGTACGGGCCACTACAGGAGCGCCCAAATTCATCCTAGAAACATTTCCACTCCATTTTTCCCCGCGGCCAATAGCTGGGCCAAGTACAGGTGGTTTAATTGAATATAACCACCAGCTCGCGGCTGACTACAATCTGTTCTCAGATCATTTTGACAGACTGTTGTCCTTGCCATGACAGGGGAAAGGGGCTGATGTACTTGACGACAGAAAGACAAAGACTGCCACTGCAAACAAACAGTCCACTCAGACGGCGAGCTCCTCCATCATTGTCACAGTGGGTACTGCTGAGGGGGAGACAATCTCCACCTTTCCCCCTGAGGACCTCCCTGATCCAAGAAACAGGGCGCACCACCCCAAATTGATAAACACAAGGGAAAACTAGAGCGCTGTTACGGTTTCAGTTTGAAAATGCACTTCAGTCACAAAGCGAGGAAAATGGTGAATGTATACAACACAGCTTAAGGGTCTGGTGGGGATGCGTTGTGTTCAAGGGATGCCTGAATTGGATTTTAAACTGAAATCGTGACTGCACCCTAGTTATCCCTTAACTAAAACCACCAGTACTTGGGGGCTCGTTAGACACTCCTCGGGCGCGTAAAGTCCCCGAGGAATTGTTCGTTCCACCTATCCTCGGGGATGCACTTGGAAAAAAAAAAGTGAAAACACTCCGAAGGAAATTCCTTGGGCTCCGAGGATCCCCCAACCATTTCTTCCTTTTGCCCAAGAGGTCCCTTGGGCAAAAGGAATCCGCGTTTCACGGAGAGGAGAGGGCACATGGGTAGAGAGACGTTACAACCGAGAATCTGGATCGTGGCGGCACCCTATTGGCTGAAGGCCTCAAGCACATTTGATTTTTTTTTTTTCTTTTCTTTTTTCTTTTCTGACATCACTCGAAGGAAATGTCCTCAGGCGACGTCCCCGAGGACAGGTGGAACGAAGGGCCCAAATTTCCTTTTGAACCAAAAGGAATTTTTCCTTTTGCCCGAGGATTTCAATAGGAGTGTCTAACGAGCCCCTTGGACCAGCTATCGAAATGTCCAGCGCGCCAAGTTTCGCCAAACCGCCAGCGCACCATTTTTTTGTTTTGTTTTGGCTGGCGCCTCCAGCCTTTGTGGTCTGGTACCCCGAAGCGCAGGTCACAGACCGTTAAAGGCTAAGGCCCGCAGCCGATAGCTGGGCCAAGTACTGGTGGTTTAAACTAGCCTCCTGGAATGTCAGAAGCCTTGACGATAACAATGACAATGTCAAATGGGCCAGGCTGAAATCATGGATCCATCAACAAGGAGTACTCGTGATTTTTCTGCAGGAGAGTCAGGAGACTAAATAAAGTGAAGAAAAAATTGCAGAGGCTGGATGGAAATGGCAGGGCCCCCAATTCTGGTGTCCATCATCTTCTTCTTCTTTCTTACTTCTTCTTCTTCTTCTTCTAACCTTCTCTCTCCTCTCAATTCATTTCTTTCTGCAATTGGATGGCATTGTACTATCTGATGAATGTGTATCTCGGAATTGACCAGGATCATAACACGTGTCATCCTTGCGCAGGGCCCATGCTAATCTTCTCTGTATCGTTCCAATTTTAACGGATGTCCTGAAGGACTTGATTGTCCGGGATAGTTACCTAAGTATTCTTCTTTCTTTTTTTTTTCCCCCCTTTTCCATTTTTTTTTTCCCCCGTTTCCATTTTTTTTTTTTTTTTTCAAACTTGTGCAAGGGCCACACTAATCTTCTCTGTATCGTTCCAATTCCAATGGATGTATTCTTCTAGTTTGGATGGCCGACGTGGGTATTTAAACACAAGTATAGGGGCTCGTTCGACACTCCTCGGGCGCATAAAGTCCCCGAGGAATTGTTCGTTCCACCTATCCTCAGGGATGCAGTCGGAAAAAAAAAAAGTGAAAACACTCCGAAGGAAATTCCTTGGGCTCCGAGGATTCCCCAGCCGTTTCTTCCTTTTGCCCAAGGGACCTCACAAGGTCCCTTGGGCAAAAGGAATCTGCGTTTCACGGAGAGGAGTGGGCACATGGGTAGAGAGACGTTACAACCGAGAAACTGGATCGTGGCGGCACCCTATTGGCTGAAGGCCTCGAACACATTTGATTTTTTTTTTCTTTTCTTTTTTCGAAGGAAATGTCCTCGGGCGACGTCCCCGAGGACAGGTGGAACGATGGTGGGAATTTCCTTGAAAACCCCCAAGGAAACTTCCGTCGGCCCCGAGGACGTCCCAAGGAGTGTCGAACGAGCCCCATAGTCATATTCAGGAATTGAAGCGGCGTGTTGTGCCGTCACCATATTGTGTACACTATATAATTATACTATCATTATTGATTTTTCTATAACTATAATAGATCGGGTGTACGAGAAAAAAACATCTTGTGTATTTTTCGGGCCTCGGTTCTCTGGGCCCAGGTGCCACAGGTCTGTTCCATCCCCTGGTTCTCTGGGCCCAGTTGCCATGGGTCTTTTTTGTCAATTGGTTCGCTGGGGCTACCACAGGTCTCCTTGGTTCTCTGGGGCCAGATGCCACGGGTCTATTTCGTATCTTTGTTCTTTGGGGCCTTTATCATCAGTGGACTCAGGGGTATGTGCCATGGGCCACATCACTTTTGGGTGGACCGGACAGGCTGCTTTACACGGTCATGCTTTGCACTTCTGGTGTCACATAAAAGTCTCAGGGCGGCGGGTGGTTGGGGGCCTGTGCTTTTGAGCCCCTTCTGTTGGGGAAGTGTCTAGTGATCCTTATTTTGTGCAAGTGCATGTTTAGTGGACGGATGAGTGGGTACCGCCCGCTTGGACACACAGTTGTGGGGATGCAATCTAGGTGATCTACGCGAATGAGGACGATCGGGGGGTGGTGGACAAGAGACTTGGGATGACAGGAGGTACTATAGGTAGGGAACGGAGAGCATGACTACTTAAGGAATGAGGACAAGGGATGCCGTCACCTGAGTGGACGAGCCAGAAGGTTGATGCTGGGATGCGCTATGCATGCCAGTTCTTTCGTTGTATAGGCACATTATGTCCTCCACGAGAGTAAAGCCTCACATATTGTGCTATATCTATGAGTAAGCTTCCTCTTCTTTTTTTCAATGAGGCGATGCTCCTTTCTAGCTTGGTGTGGCAGGGTTTATTCGGTGCTCTGTTGACAGTGTACACAAACACAGACACATGCATTTTTGTGGAGTTGAGCATAGCAACATGATGACGCACATATACAGACTTGTACATGAGAGGCACTGTGAAATGGCAGCTGCAAGAACAAACAGAAGAGAAAACCCCAAAAAAGCCAAAGGAAGGAAAGTGCCCAATGGGCCTAGCTCGGTTGGTACATGTATGAACTGTTGAAATACAGACCCGAGTTCGACTCCAGATGCAGTCAGATGAAAAGTAAGGAAAGGGAAGAAAGAACTGTACAAGGAGAAGACAATATAGCAGTTTTAGTGTGCTTCATGTTCTTTGCTATGGAGGTAATACTGTTTCAAATTTTTGATTTGCTCATCTGCCTGGAAAATGGGTTTTTGTGGGGACACTTTACAACACAAATGCAGAAGGAAGACTGGGAGGATTTGAGAGGTTGCAGAAGGAAGACTGAGGGGGGTGTGAGAGGTGGTAGAAGGAAGACTGGGAGGGTTGTGAGAGGTGGTGGTAGGGGTTGTAAGACCGCGAGATTGGTGTGCTGCTGCATGTCACTAACCGCATGGATGAAAACTGAACAGGCCATGTCCAGCTTGGTGACCATGAGGAGAGTATTATGCAGGGTGGGAAAGGTGCAAGCCAAGGAAACGACGGTGACGGTAGGACGTTTGGAGGGGAAGAGTTCGTATCGAAGATGGCAGATTACAGATGTGAGGCGATCGTTTGCCGGCAACACAGTCACGATCGATGGGCTTACGAAGAATGGCTGGAGATGGAGAATGCCTCCTTTGTGTGAGCAGGTCACGTTCAGACGGACTGGTGCAGTGGATTCAGAATCAAGACAGCTATGTCAAATGTCACATTTTGTTCCTGGTAATGAAACCCTCCTCAACCTATCACTTGCCTCTGGTGCTGGCGACCCGCTTGCCCCTTGGCGCGGCGAACCGAGGCCCCTTGCCTTGCATTTGTTTTTAGAGAACATACCAGCCAAACAGAGCTCACACATCTTATCGAAAAGATCTCATCAGCCAGCCACTCACCGTCTCTTCCAAAAACATCGCCACATCGTGATGACTGTGTATCAGACTTGGACAGAAAGGCCTTCTACGTTCATGATGACGTGGCATTTTGTTTTGGGGGAGATTGCGGCTTGTGCCTTCTTCCTCGAATGAGAGCGCGTAAACTGAGTCTCTTTCAGCACTGTCATGCACACATTCTATACCTGTCATACACTTTGCCACACCTCCTTTCTCACCATATCGTCAGCCCTTTTCTTTTGTGTTTCTAAGGCTACTTGGTCTTTGTGGCATTCTGTTCGGCAGAGCAACAATCCTGTTCCTTTTGTACCGGCAAAAAACAGAGACGCTCCTGCCTGCTTTGTTATTGTCGGAGCTTCGTGCACTTACCTTGTCACACACTTTGTCGTTCACGCGTCGTGGTGCAGAAAATGTCATCATGAACATATTGGCATACACAGATGTCACACCGATGTCACACCGATGTCACACAGATGTCACACAGATGTCACATGCACGTCAGACGTGTTACAGACATGTCACACCGGTGGCAAACACATGTCACACAGGTGGCACACACTATGCCAAACACACCTTGTGAGACACACCCTGTCCACAATCCGGTCTCAGTGGTGCTATGTGTGTGCTAACTTCTAAGTTAGCATGGCCCTGGTCGATACGACGACTAGGAAAAAGTTGATATCAACTTAGCACAGAATAGTGAGCCTGATCCCTACTTTGTGTTTTCACAACATAGCACCAGCAGGGTCTGACCTTTGACTCATGCCAGGGATGAAATCATGCTCTGAAAACATGAATGTGGCTTTGAAACTGGGGAAGTTCACACAAAGTCACAAACTTTGCACAATGATGGCACCATGAGATCCTGGCCCTTATGTCATGCGCACACACCGGAGCACCGGTGGGGTCTGATGCTTAGGACAAGGTCCCACCAGTGCTTCCTCCATGCTCAGAAATAAGCAATCTCTGCCTTGTGAGCTCAGTTATGCTGGTTTTCTTATCATCTCCAGCTCTCTCTCCCGGTCAAATTGAATGATGCCTGTCTGTCCGTCCATC